ACTTCCCATGTTCAACTGGTTGCCAAATTCTCTGGATCCTATTTCCAAAATTCTGAAACTGACTTAGTTTTCCTCATCTCACGGCTGCTAGGCTCTACAAAGCTATTACTGATTATAATTGTCTGGACTCTAGCAATCTCCTCCTGATCAATCTCCAGTCAAGTCACGGATCTGATCACATCTCTCCCCTGCTAGAAATTCCTTCGTGGCTCTTCATTTATGTCCAGGTAGGCCCAGATCCTCAGCACTATATCCTGGCCCTAACTTCCTCCTTCATGGCTGTCTTACCCTGAACCTGTGATGTAGTGGCTCTCTGAGAAGGCCATATATTTGCCCACTCCCATGCCTTTGTTCTTGATATTTTTTTGTTGTTGGTTTATAATCCCTACCCCTTTTTGTTTCCCTGACTAGTAAATAAAATTTGACCTTCAATACCTAGGTCAATTGCTACCTCTTCACTGTGGCTGATTAGTGGTTATAGCTCCCATTTCTAGGATGCAGAATTTTGTTTAGGTATCACCCATTCCAATATATTCATTAAACAATACTTTATTATTGGGCAAGAGCAGAAGATCAGCTGCTGAGAGAACTAAGGTAATCAAGGCACTAGTGCAGTGCAGAGATGAACTTTAGGATAAGCCCATGTAATGGCAGATGTAATGGCTGAGACTCCAGAAGGCAAAACTGAGGACTCCCAGGGCAAAGTCACACTATTTCAGTCTGGCATTGGAAGCTCTCAGCCGTGTGGCCTATGCCTGGAATTCCTTCACCAAAGGATTTCACCCAATTTTAAACAGAAAACTACACACTCCAGATGAATGATTCCATTCTTCGCCATCCCCTTCACATCTCCCTCCCTGCTGCAAAAATCTCCTTCTTTTCCCTGCCTATATTTCATTGTCCAAATGCACTTCTTCATCACCTTTAGGTACACAATGAAGCCAGATTCCCTCAGAGTTCCTTCTCCTCTGCATTTTTGTAGCTCTTATGGTCTGAACTACTCACTTTATATGTAATCATGAAGTGTTTTGGATTTTTGTTTAACATTTTATGGGCATATGCTCTGTTTCTCAAGTGGAATACAAACTGCTTGAGGTCAGGGACCATGCTGTGGAATAATTTTTAGATTTTAGGGTGGTATATAATTAAAAAATGATACCTTACACGTGTAACTAAATATCTTGTTGAGACTTTGCACATAAATAAATCCATGAATCTGAAAATAATTTTTTATTAGACCATGTGTCTTGTTTTATAACTTTAAAATATGCTAGCTATTTTTATAGGTGCTAAAGAATCATGAAATGTGGTGGCAATAATAGCAAACATTTATAGACTTCTTACTGTGCTTTGCGTAATTTCCCTACTTCTTTTCTGGATAATAACTGCCTAATTCTCCTGACAACCCAAAGGTGCTGGTACTTTGGTTTCTCCCATCCTACAGCCAAGGAAACCAAGGCACAAAGAGGTGAAGTCATTGCCAAGGTCAGGCAGCTGGGCCTGGTGTCCAAGGGCTTAACCACAGAACACACTGCATCTCATTCATATAAGGACATGAAATGTAGGCCCTGTTAAGGAATAAATTACAGAATTGTAATTAGAGGCCAGAGGAGAAACTATGAAGACCTTGTCAGGATTTATGTCTCAGAGGTGGTGAGACGGAATGCGTCCTCTGGGTCATGAAGGTGTTGCGTTCTAACAAACTCAGGAGAAAGAAGAGTTCATTATCTGTAGGGTCTATTTTTAGATTCCTCTTCTTCAGACATTATAAAGAAAAAGACAAAGTCTTCAATTAGATTACTCGGGTAAATGATACGTCTGATCTTGTTATTGTTATTTTTTTAAATGTTCTACCCAAACTCTGGTGAACTTTGTTGAGTTTTTCATTAAGAAAAAAATCTCTGGGCCAGGGTTGTGGCTCAGTGATAGAGTACTTGCCTAGTATGCACGAGGCACTGGGCTCAATCCCTAGTACCACATAAAAATAAAGAGATAAAGGTAGTGTGTACATCTACAACTAAAAAAAAAATCTCTTTTCAAACCTAGAAAATGTTTCATCTCTTTCATTTCAATAGCTGGAAATTCTCTCTTTGGGGCCTTAGTTTCTTTAAATATTTTTAGGTTTCCAGATTCTTCTGTCAGCTCTGGAGGAAGCCAATTTTGTCCCTACACCTCTGAGAGTAGTCCAGTCCCATCTTTTGCCCAATCACTGCATCACAGTGAAATGTTGCCTAATTACCACTTTTGTGGGATCCCAGAGGTGTAGGGATTTGTCTCCAAGCTATTGCTCTGCACTATAAAATCTCAGATGAGAGACAACCCTCCTCATTATTTAAACCTCTAGGACCTCTAGGTCTTGTAATAGGAGTTTACCCCAATCCAAATTATTTGCAGTCTTGTGAAAGAAGTGATCAAATGAGACAATGAAACTCATCCCAAGAGCACTTCTAAACTATCAGTGGAAGGGACTATCTCATTTGGGTGGTTCCCAGTTCCAAAGGGAACTTCCCCCAAAGTCAAATCCTTTTATTATTTTGTTTCTTCATTTGGGGGATGAGAAGCAAATTCAAAGGTTAATAGATGGGGAAATGCTACTTTATCTCCGGTGGAGACACAAAATCAAACTCTAATGATAGCAATACTTTGAATTTTACTGTTTTTTTTTCTCTGATAATGGCTTCTTTAGGGAATTTAAGATAAATAGTTGAACCAATCTTTTTACTAGAAACTACTTTTGTGTGGATTAAAAAAATCACACTTTTATTTATAAGGTAAATTTATGCTTATTTGTGTTAACCTGAAAATGAAACATTATACATGTACAATGTACAAATACATTGGAATTCAAAGGAAGGAATTAATATTAAATGTTGTGTGATTATTTCCTTATTATCAGTAGGGAAAATTGTAGAATTGGCCACTAGTTGGTTATGTATTATCCTTCAAGATCTTTTTTTTTTTTTTTTTTTTTAAGTATACAATTTTCTATTCACTCTGGCATAGGGAAGGTATGGTGGAATGCTTTCGAGAAGTGGATTTTGGTGGAGGAACAGCAATGGGGAAGAGACTCTCTGACCAGGATGCTCTGCTGTGTTTACTGCCTTATCCACCCTTGCTTCCCTCCAACAGTGGCAGTTTAGAAATGGATCTTGAAATGTCCCCTAAAGGCCTGTGTATTAACAACTTGGTGACCAGCCTGTGGCACTATTAGGAAGTGGTAGAACTTTGGGAGGCAGGCTCTAGTGGAAGTATGTCAGGTCACAGGGATGCGCCATTAAAGGGGATATTGGGATCCCAGCCCTTTCCCCTTTCTCTCTTTGCTTCCCTGGTGAGGTGAACAGGCCTCCTCTGACATGTGCTCCCATCATAATGTATTGTGCTGCCACAGGCCCAAGGCAATAGGGCCCAGCAAGCATGAACTGAAATCCTGAAACCATAGCCCAAAACAACCTTTCCTCCTTTTAATTTGATTATATCAGATATTTTGTCACAGCCATGGAAAGCTGACTAACACAATAGGCTTGCTGTATATGTGTTGGTGGTTCTTTAGGATGATTATGGTTTGAGCTCAGTGTTCAGCTCCTGGATTTCTTTCCCAAGAAACCTCAGATCTTCTTGACTTACATACTTCCATCTTTGTAACAAAGGGATGGATATTAACAGAACCAGAAGCTGTGTCCCTTTAAAACTGAGATCCCTTTCAGTAGCCATGAAGATGATAAATAGTCTCAGTAGCAGTAGTTTCCAATCTTATCTGCATATTAGAATAGACTTGGAGACTTAGAAAAAAAATTGATGCTCAGTTCCTTCCCTGCCCCAAGATTAAAGTGGTAATTGGTCAGTGTGGGGCTTGGCAACCTGTCTGTCTAAAGCTCCTCAATGAATTCCAGTGGACACAACACTGAGAATCCCTGCTCTGAAGTTATGCCAGGAAGAAGAGCCCCCTCCTTCACTGATCTGTACCTGATTAACCTTGAGATATGGTATCCACAGGGGTGCTTTATAGATGACAATAAGCTGAGAAATTACTGAACGGTTGTGATGAAAGTTACTGCCAAAGTAAAAAGATTATAATAATTATTACTCTGGTTATTGTTAGAAAGATTGCTAGTATCTGACATCTGTGGATTACCACGTGGGTTACAGAGCAGTTCCACAATACCCGCTGTATTGTGCTCTTAAGCACCCTGGGAGGCAGATAGGGGTGGCATCATTGCGTACAGTTTTTGTAAATGAGGAAAGAAAGCCTGGAAGGTTGAATGGTTAGTCCAAGATCACACAGCTGCGTAGCTAGCCACCCGGGGATTAGAACCCAGGTTTCTGATTGTTATCCCATTGTAACAAATTGGTACTATGATAAATTAGAAACCCAAACAGTTTTATTCACTTACAAGCTGTGTGACCCATGGGCCATGGTTTAACCTCTCTAAATCTGTTTCCTTGCCTACAAAAGGAAGCTAATACTTGTACCTATCTCACAGGACTGCTGTGAGGATAAAATGAGATGAAACACCTCACAGAGTATAAAATTCAGAACAAATATAAACAGTTGCTAGTGTTATTAACTAGAGGGAGAACGCAGTAGTTTGAGGGGGTCAGGATATTTATGATGCCACTATTGTGCTCTTGGGATTTTCAGTGAAGCCCAAAGCTTGAGTTGTTACCTTACAATATCTCATTCTTTTTAATATGATCTGCTTCTGTTTTTAATTTGGTCTATTTGTTAATGTATCAGATCGGGTTGCAGAATTGCCCTCAGCACACTGGGCTTCCTGGGGTCAAAGTAGTATCTGAAGGTGAGACACTGAGTCTGTTTGGGGATTCACTCTGCTCTCCTCTGCTGCATTCCTGAACGTTCTGGTTCACCCTGGCATCTGGAAGAGCTGCAGGACATGTCCTTAACTACCCTCCCATCACCTGCTGCATTACCTCACTTTGGCTCCCTGGTGCTATTTTGGTGGGCCTGGATTAGTCATGTGGGGTACTTGATCAAAACTTACTTGAACAGCTCTTCTTTTGCTGCACACCAGGCTTCGCTGTTGGAGAGCAGACCAGGGTTGGGAGAGCAGTGTCTGAGGGATGTCTGAGGTTTCTCACCTAAGAGATGAAAGTTGTGAAACTGTTAAGAAGAGGGATGAAAGTGCTGCGACCTTAAATCTACTGTCAGTGAGACGTTTGATAGTACTTAGTTGTCTATATAGACAGTTCTTATTTATAAATATAGGTCATTTTATACCTATTTTTTGTTTAGCTTCAGCAAATCCCACTATATTTTTTTTTCATAATTCTCTCCAACACAATGCTCTACATACAACAGATTTTCAATAACTGCTGTCAGGAACATCTTTGTAACATTCACTCATTTCCTTATTCATGTTACAAACATTTATGTCGGGCATCATGAGAGGACTGGAGATACAAAACCAAAGCCCTAGACCCCATTCTTAGGAATATATTGCTTAGTGGGAAAACAGAGAAGTGAACAGATGGTTAAAATCAGCATAACCGCTGTGATGGTGGGGGGCGTGGGTTCTATGGGGCACACAGAAAGAGGACTGGGGTGAGGGAATGGCCATACCTGGGCTGATTCTTGCAGGGCACAGGGGAGCTGGGAAGGTGAAAGGCAGAGTGGGGGAAGCTGCGGTGGTCAGGAGAGGAGGTGTGTGGGCACCAACGTCAGGGACTGTGAGGAGGGCAGACTGCAGACAGCAAGGAAGAGTGGGCAGGGCCAAGTCACTTGTAGGTTGTGCCTTCTCACATCCAACTAGTTCATGAATTAAATGTGAATGAAATGGAATAGACACTATCAGAGCACAAGATCTGCAATAAGGATAAATGCTAGTTTGTAGGGCTTATGTTTCCTTTATAGACGTATGGTTGAGTGTGGGTGTGTATAAATAAAAAATTAATAAATGTACATATGTCTGTATGTACATTTGAGCATAGGGGTTAATGGTACAAATGGTTTGGGATACTCTTTTGTAGACTAGAACTGCCACTGATAGGTTTTGACCAGAGAAGAGAGATAATCATATTTGTGCTTTAGTACAATTATTCTGCCCACAGTATGTGGGTTGGACCTGAGGCGTTGGAATGCAGTAAGCGCTATGGCAGCTATCTTGCACAATGAGAAGCCACGTGTTGGGAAGGGCAGGTCGATGAGATAGAAGGAGCATGGGCCCCTGATGATTAAGGAGCTGTCATACCAACTTACACTGCCTATTCAGATTTTTAAATGAAAGAGAAGTAAATCTCTAGACATGCTAAAGCCTTCAGATCTGTAACCGTGGTTCTACTATCCTTCATTGTTATTCCTGAGGGGGGTGGTTAGAATGTAAGATGGTATGTAATAAACCCCACCTCCTGTTATTCATATTTCTGCATAATCCCTGCTTTTTGTGTATGACTTGGACCTGTGTCTACTCTCTAACCAATAGAATTTGCAAACACTGACAATTGCATGAACAGATTATTTAAGATCCTGGCTTCTGTCTTGTTAGTGAGTATTATTCCTTGTGGCTTTGGTAAAGCAAGTTGGCATCTTATAAAATGCCCTCTGCAGAGGCTCCTTTAGCAAAGAACTGAATTCAACCTCTGACCAATAGCTAGCATGGAGCAAGTAAAATATCCATCAATAGGAAATGGGGTAAGTTTTTGAAGCTACAGGCAAGAATGCTAATAAGTAACATGAAAACATCTGAAACTCGCTGGTGAAAGTAAGTACACACTCAAATTGGATTACTCTAATACTGTAATGGTGGTGTGTAAATCACTTTTAACTTCAGTACGAAGGCTGAAAGTCAAAGTTATTAAATATAATAACCTCATGGTAAGCACAAGGCAAAAACTTATGACATATAGACGACACACACACACACACACACACAAAATGCACAGGAAGAAAGTAATAAAGGATCTGCAAGACAATTAGAAAACAATTTTAAAAAATGGAAGCAGTCCTTACCTATCCATAATAACCTTGAACATAAATGGAAATTAATGGATCCTATTATATGGTTACAGAAATTAAAATTAATGTGCTAAATCTACATTTACAATATGGATAAGTCTCAGAAACACAATGTTCAACAACAACAAAAAGGCCATCTTGAGAAGGCATAGTATAGCCGGCTCGGTGGCGCATGCCTAGAGGTGAAGGCAGGGGGATTGTGAGTTTAGAGTCAGCCTCAGCAAAAGAGAGGTGCTAAGCAACTCGGTGAAACGCTGTCTCTAAATAAAATAAGAAATAGGGCTGGGGATGTGGCTCAGTGGTTGAGTTCAATCCCCGGTATCACCCCCACCCTCACCCAAAAAAGCACAGTATAATAACATTTATATAAAGCTTAAAAACACACAATATTATTTGATGCTTATAATATAGCAGATATTTTGTGGTTTTGTGGTTGGGTTTGCTAATAATAATAATTTGCTAATATTAATAATAATAACAAAATGCATTCCCCAAATAAGATCAAAATCAGAGTGTGGTGGATTTGGTTATGCAACTCTCTGAAATTGTGTGTTTTCTTTTCTTTAGGAGGTAAACCCAGGGCGTCACTTCACTCATGCTAAGCAAGACCTCTACCATGGAGCTACATCTGCAGTCTATGTTTTGTATATTTTAGTTGTTAAAAGTCTCAAATGTTTGGGGCTGGGGTTGTGGCTCAGTGGTAGAATGCTTGCTTAGCACATGTGAGGCCTGGGTTCGAGCCTCACCACCACATAAAAATAAATAAATAAATAAATAAAGGTATATAAAAAAATCTCAAATGCTTATCTGTCACGAAAGTGTAAGTGCTGGCACAGATCAAGAAGGAAGAAACAAGTGTTTCTTCTGAAACTTAATTGTTGTCCTTACTTTATTTCATAGACTTTGTGTGTGTGTGTGTGTGTGTGTGTGTGTGTAGGGTAGGTACTAGGGATTGAACTCAGGGGTTCTTTACCATTGAACTATACTCCTAGTCCTTTTTATATTTTATTTTGAGACATGGTTTCACTAAGTTACTGAGGCTAGCTTTGAACTTGGGATCTTTCTGCTTCATCCTGGGATTATAGGAATGCAATTTCAGAGTAAGAACAGGGAACAACTGTCTGCAGGGGACCGAGACAAAAGTATTCCTAGAATTCTTTAGCCACTGAGAATTTTTTTGAAATGTAAAATTTGGGGTAAGGTTTGAGGCAGGAGTAAGACAGCCTGGTGAACATAAGGAGAAAATATCAAGGAAAATGAGAATGGGAGAAACAGTTTAATTCAATAGTTAACCACTTGGGAGAGACTCTTGTAAGCTGATAATTATGATTTTATAATGTTTACACATATAAATCTCAAAGAAGACCTAAAATGCACCAGAGAAATGAGAAGAAGGAATGGAAAAGGAATTTCCCCCCAAACCCACTCTAAATTCTCTCTCTAGCTGAAGTGAAGCAGGACCAAGAAAAATAAGACAGAATAACAGGGATAGGAGGCCCCCTCTGGCATGGCTGGCATCTTCTAGAAGGGGAAGGGGAATCCCAGCTGTACCATTCTTTTCTTCCATTGAGATCTGAAATGTTTTGTGGTTGGGTTTGCTTGGCACAGTGCTTGCTGCCTTCTATGAATAGAAAACCTGATCCCAAGCTGCTTTTCCTCTGTGACACGCCACCTACACTGTAACACGCATCAGTGGATAAATCAGAAGGTGACATGCTTTTCAGTTCACTGCAAGATACTCTGCATGTCACAAAGTAACTCTTGCCAACGTTTGCCTGAGTAATTCACATTTAGTTATGGGTTCCTCTACTAAATGAAGGACCTAAATGGTTAGGTGAAAGAAGTGTTGCTAGTCTGTTGGTTTCTAGCAGAGTATACCAATGACTTTCAGCAGTGCTCAATGGAAATACCTTTACTCCAGCTCTCACAGCTGACTGTATTTTTATGCATTGAGTTATGTGCCCACAATACTCCAGAGAGTGTTACCATCCACTTAGCAGCCTCAAGTCCTGGGTTTTCTGTTCATAGTTTTAAACTAGCATAAAGAAATGCAAAATCACAGGCAAGGAGAATCCTTAGACTATTGCCAGGAGAGGTTTTTTTTTTTTTTTTTTTTTGGCTTATTTTGGCATATATGAGAAATATTTTGAATTCTTAATGTGGAGCCGTTCTTTTCATTAGGAATATGTGATTAAAGTGAGGCTGGCTTCTAATGGGAGATGGAAGCCTAAATATAGTAAGTTTGGGAGCAAAATAGAGCGAAAGTCTCATTTGGACTGGGTAAGGCAGAAATGTAGGAATGAGGTGTAAGTTTCTGCATAGCTTTCTCTTGTCTATTATTTCCTCATATTACCTGCAAGAAATGGCAGTGGTCCCTACAGGCCACACTGGGCCTAGAGTACCATAGTGGCATCTGCTGTAATGGAACTGGGTCTTTGCTCTTCATGAGACTGGAATTCAGAGTGACTCTATAGGTTAGATCTGGCCCTTGGATACTAGGGCGTCTATTAAAGAGGTCTCTATTCCTCTATGGCAGGGTTTCTTAAGCCTTTTGGACTGAATTCACAGTAGGAAACATATTTTACTTCACAATGTGTATTAGGAAAGAAGAATCTGAAGTATTTCAACATAGAGAATTTAATGTAAGGCATTGATTAAACAGATGTTTGGGAATATTTTTAAGGCACAGAATAATAACTGCAAGAAGAGCTACACACTCTAGGGTTGGGAATCAGAGAGGAGGTTAGAGTTACCAGAAGCCAGAAGCATGGAGGAGAGGCTCCATAGAGCTGGAACTCGGACCCTTGAAAAGGGACACTCCCAGGCTGAGCTATTAACTCTGGGACAAAGGGAGAAGGGATACAATGCAGGGGGCACTAAAGGCCATTGCTGGGACAATGCACAGTAAATGCAACAGAAAGAGCAAGCTGTCCTGGCTCCTCCCTGCCTTGCTTTCTCCAGTGCCTCCCCTGGCCACTTAACAAAGTAGAGGTGTGGTTAGCCCAGTTTCAGCCCCACCAACATCAAGCAGAGGAGAGGGTAGTTCTGAAGCTAACAGACAACAGCTCAGTGCTTGCCAGACTATACTTCACTGTAACTATACACATATACTCTAGATTTTTTTCATAGCATTTTCTGTTTTACTTTATCCTGCGTTACCTTATCACGTTTGAAATATTAAAAAGCTGGGAGAGCTCTATCAAAGTGATTTCATGACCTACTAGTGGGCTATGAGCCAGTGAAGAAAGCTCTGCTTTAGGAGGCCTTCAAGGACAATGGAGCTGAGCACTGGCACTGACTTCTCCCAGAGCAACAGTGACTTATGGGAATCTCCTTGCAAGGGACCCTGCTACAAAACTGCAGGGACCCACACCTCCATATGATTCAGGAATATTTTTATTGAGGGTTTGCAAATATTCTGTATACAATAGTGCCCCCTCATCCCTGGTTTTGCTTTCCAGTCCCAGTTACCCTGATCAACCATGGTTCCAAAATATTAAATGGAAAATCCCACAAAGTTTCTAATTTTAAACAACTCTTAATACACTGCATTATTATAATTATTATATTATTAGTTATTGTTATTTTAACACTATACCTAATTTACAAATGAAACTTTATCGTAGGTACACACACACACACATATACACACAGACACACAGTACCCTATGTATAATGGTTTTTCCTATCTGTGGTTTCAGGCATTCATTGGGATCTTGGAACATATCTCCTGCAGATAAGGGGAGACTGCAGTAGTACCAGAAGGACGTACTAGAGGATAAAAGTTAAGGAACCACCTATCAAAATATTTATTGTGTTCTTATTTTATATATGCATATATTATTTATATATGGTATTATAAAGATGCAAAAATGCACATTGCAGAGTTTGAGATATAGTGAGGAGAAAAGGACAAAAACTAACTAGATGAGCTACCCTAGGCAGTATGGCCAGTTGTTAAGTGAGTGATACAGGCAGGAAATATTATGAGTACAGAGCAGGGGGATATGATTATGAGCAGAAATAATCTGGAAAGATTTCATGTAAAAGCCTGAGTTAGTTTTTGTAGACCAGGTAGAATTTAGATAGGGTAAGGGAATGGCTTCTCAAGGGAAGAGAACAACTGAAGCAATAGAACCAGGTAAAGGAGCACAAGGCCTGCTTGCTGGAGCACTGAGATTTGGGGCTCAGAACAAGCAATAGCAATCTGAGCTTCAACTAGAGCTGAGGTGAACTTGGAAATGCAGAGGGTGTAGAGACTGAACCTTGGGAGCTGGTAGAGGAGCTGGTGAATAATACACCGAGGGATGGTTGGAAAGCTTTGATGAGAACCAAGGTCACAGACCACCAGTAAGGGTGATCAAAACATCAATTGCTACAGAGGCCAACGCTGAGAACCCAGGAAAAACATCTGACCTTGGACCAGAAGCACTGTCTCTTTAATGAGAGTGGGGCTTTTGACCACATGGCCTGTGTGTATTAATCTCTTGCTACTTTCGGCTTCATTTTTTTAGGTTTGTTCAGTGCATTAAACTATCACTTGAATGGGTCCAAAGTGTCCAGTGAAAAATAATAGTTTCTTGTTGATCCTTATTCTTTCGCAGGTGTTCCTGGCTTGTGAGGAGTTTTATAGCTGTGCTTCAGTGGCTCATGGTCTTCCCTTGCGTGACTGCCACCTCCAACTCACTACAGAGCAGCTGTTTGCTTTCTTTGCTGTCATCTATTCTCAAGTGGCTTGTCCTGCCAAACTGATTCTCTGGAATTCTGACATCAAAAACTAAGGAGGGTTATGCATTGGGACCTTACGTTTGGAGACTTCTTCATGGCTGCAGACAGCCCTACAACTCTGGCCAGCTGCCTTGCAGAGACAAGTGACTGGTCACAAGGGAAACCAGATGAGGGAGAGATGGATCAGGTGAACCTATCATCCCTACTACAAGAACATGTGTTCAGCTGGTAGCAGATCAGTATCATCTTATCCAGGAGTAAAGGAGAATCTATTTATATGCTCATTACGTATGCAGAGTTGTGATCAAAGTGCTATAGGTGAGAAGTCCAGGTGTCCAGTCTTTCAGGATATCATCATGGCTTAATGCTCAGATTTTGTTCTGGACTTCATGACTTAAATTTTGTCATTTATTCTGCAAAATATAAGCTATAATTACCTAGAATTTGGTTTCTTTCTCCTAGATAATGGATTCCAATTATTATCACCTGCTTTCTTACTTACACTAAATAGAGTAAACCACCTTTATGGGCATAATAAAATGTTTTTTTCATAACTGAACTTATGAAGATATCCTGGACAGGTCACACATGGATGCCAGGCTTTGCTTTATACTGTTTAATATTTATTAACTACCTTGTGGACTGAATCAAATAGAATATGGAGATATATACTGTGATGAATAAATATTTTAATAGCTGGCACCAGAGTTTTTCATGGAGAAGATGCTTTCTTTGCATAGGAAAAAACTGGCAAATATTTTAGTAATTATAGGTAATTTTGAAGGCATCGATTAGGAGATGGAAAAACTAAAAGTACTGTGAAAAGATGAGGGGAGATGGGAGCAGAGAGATTATGAACAGTGGGAAGTTGCAGCTTATACCGAAGACATAGAGTTGGTGGATAAAAATGCCTGGGGGAAGTGAAGGACTCTTAAGAAAAGGGAATTATAATTTTAGTTTTTCTGTGTCCTTCATTTAAAACCCCTCAGCTGCTCCAAACCTTCAGAAGAGTGTGCTATAGAACCGACTAAAAGAGAAGGGGTTGATTTCCACATTATGTGACAGCAGAAATAGAAAAGAGTTGCAGGTGACATGTGAAAGAGTCTAAGTGTTCAGAGACAGCAAGAACTCAAAAGTCAGAAATGACCCTGAGATTGTATGGCTCCAGGGAGTGTGCAATCATAACGTTCAATCATAAAGAGGACATTGGTCTCTCCACAGAGATGAGTCAATTTCAACAGAATCTCTGGGACAGAGTGACCCTAACTAACAACACAGTAGCTTGCTATTTTTGACCATAATTTAAAAGACATTTATTATCAGAAAATGACAAGGCCACAATTCACTCTCCACCCCTCTCCATTTTTCCTATGAAATCTCTAGGCTTCACTTTCCTCCTCTATAAAATCTGCATATTGGGCCTAGAATCTCTCTCTCTTTTTTTTTTTTAGAGCTCTAACAATAAATGTTTATGTTCCTTTTGAGGTAAATTTGCAAACAGCAAAACTATACAAATCTTAAGGTGCCATTCCAAATTCTGACAACTGCAGATAATTCTACAACCAAACTCTTAGTAAGATATAGAGCTGCTTTTCCATTTCTTTCCTTTTTATTTTGGTGCTATCAAGGATTTAGACCAGGGATTTGGGCATACCGGGCAAGCACTCTACCAACTGAGCTACAACCTCATCCTGATACGGAGTTTTATCATTACTAAGGCAAATTCCCTCCTCAGCTAAACCCCTCCTGTCGCAGCCAGCCAACCAACCAATCTGACTTTTACCACGATGAATTAAATAACTAATATTTGATAGCAACTGTTGGACGCCAGGCTTTGCTTTATACTGCTTCATTCGCAATAACGCGTTTCTTTCTCACATGAACTGTAAGGCAGGTATTTCCATTTTGCACCCAAGAAGTTTAGGTCAGGTGAGGGAAGCGGCAGTAAGGGAACCAAGAATCAATTTTAGATGCCTACGCTCTTAACCTCAGTTTATACTACACTGACGATCCCGCAGAGTCCACATACGATTGCCTAATGTATATCATAGCTCCCAAGTCAGTAGAGAGCAATGCCATCTGCAAGTGCTAAAACCTGAACCATTCTAAAGGCCAAGTATGCGTTCCATCATACCGAATGATTGCTTTCTACCCTACTCCCCGGAGAATGGCAGAAAGGGGATGTGGGAAAGACTGCAAATTCGATTTGACTGATGAAAAGCGCCAACAGAACAGGCTGAGGTTCCACACATCCCAAGGGCGCAGGGTCTGCGAGGGATGGAACTGGACCAGCGGCCTTTTAACTAGAGTTGAGCCGCGCGGCGCCCGCGGGGACGCTAGGTCCTCTGACGCCACAGGCTCCTCCCAGAAGGCAGCTAGCTGGAGCGCGCCGAGGCCCGGGCACGGGCTCCTCAGTCACCGCCCGCCCAGCTCAGCCAGCCATCTCCTTGTTCTCCCAGGGTGCGCGCTCGCGCTCGCGCTCGCGCCGCCTTTCCCCCGCCTCTGGGCGGGCTGTCCAGGCTCCTCCCAGAGCTAACTCAGAGCCCCCCCCCCACCCCGCGCGACTGTCATGGCAACCGTACGCCGCCGCCGCCTTTTCACGCACGTCGCGAACTAACGGATTCTGCGGCGGCGGCCTGCGCCCCACCCCCACCCCACCTGGACCACATCACCCACGGCCTACGGCTTGCAGCACCTAGGTAATGAATCCGCGAGAGAGCAGGAGAGCAGATGGTGGGACGCCCGAGTTGACAGCCCAGCCCTATCTCCCGCCGCCCAGGACGCCGGGGTAGTAAGCGGCGGGGTGCCTGGGGCGCGGGCCGCCGCGTGGGGAGGGGAGCGGAGCGCGAGCGCGGGGGCTCGCGGGGCATCGTGGGGATTGTAGTTCGGTGGCTCGCCGGGCTCAAGGCGGTGGAGGGGCGACTTGGCCCGGCGAACTACAAAGCCCGGCGGCCCCGACCGCTAGGGAAGACAGATTAACTTTGTGCGGACCTGGACAGGGCGAATCTGTGTCTCTTTGTCCTGAGGGGGCTCTTGGGTGGTCGCGGAACTGGGCTCTATGCGCTGGGAGAGGGAAGTGGAGGTGAGACGTGGGCTTCCCGCCCTGTGGTTTGGCCTGCCGGGGCTGCAGCGCCCAGCCCCACCCCATCGGGCCACCGCCCTGCTTAGGCTCCGGGAGGAGCAGCCGCCCCAGATGCAGGGCCTCGGGCCTTCCGCGCCTCCCGAACCTCTGACCCTCCCAGGTTGCTGTCTCTCGGTTCTGAACCGTATGTATGGCACGAATTTGGCGTGAGACCGGAGAGACCGAAATTTAGCAGACTTTTCTCCTTTCCCAGATACGTTTATTTGTAGCTATTTAACCATACTTATTTTAAACCCCTCTATTTCTCAAAGGGCAATTATGTTTAAATGATGAGTGTGAACGTGGATAAAAGACAACATTGCTGTCATATGGAGTATCTGGTGTTTTACCGTTTTGCAATTCTGCATTTTATCTGTAGAGGTTCAAGGTTGTGAAATGAGTCCTCCCCGGCTCCCTTCCCCACTAGTTTGAACCCTGCCTACACATATTTTGAAGACTAGTTTAGTTTTAAATTACTAGTAACGTTTAAAGCACTGCCTTTTTTTTTTCTTTCAAAGTAGGGGGGAGAAGTAATTGTTTTCTTTGACTGTTGCAGTGTTTTTCAGAATTCCTAAGGAGCATGTTTTTAAAATGAAAAATGCCATTTTTTTTTTTTTAAATGCTACAGAATACATCTTAGTTACAAGACTCAAGGACTGGTGGTAAGGAAGCTGACAGATTTAAAAAACCTACCTTGACTGTTTTAAAAAATTTCAAAAGGTAGATAACCTAGATATTGGTATTTTATGGAGTGAGTTGGGAAATTGTTGTTAGTATTGTGAGTTTATTTTTGTGTGTATTTTTTTTTAAGTTTCAAGAAACATAAGATTAGGAACACTACAAATTTTTTTCTCTCAATTAAAATGCTGACCTCTATAAATTTCACTTAAAGGAGCAATTTTATGTATTTGGAGACAGAAGTAGGTTTCATAAGACCACTAAGGGAAAAAAGGACCTTACATGGTATAGGGATTTGAAGTATTTTGTTTTGTTCACTCAGTTTGTCAATAACCTATTTGCCATATATTATGTCAAGTGGTGAGAATGAAGAGATAAATAGTAGATTGCCAGTGTCAGGCATGGACACTTATGTAATCTCAATAGTGTGGTAGATGCAAGTTGCTATTAATTTAACACTAATAAATTCAGTGGGAATAATCATACAACATTAACTTTTGTTAAACTGAGTCTGTGTGAGAAGCTCTGTGCAGGGTTATTTGCAGGTAGTCCTTATTTATTCCTCATAACAAATGAGCGAAGTAGTTAACTACTGTTATTTAGAGATGAGGAAATGGGCTTAGAGATTTTGCCTAAAGTCTTATTTGGTAAAATGAGCCCAGGTGGGTCTAACTCATGATGTAAGTCATAATCTCAACCACTGATGGCATTTTCTCCCCTAATTAGTAGAAAGATCATAACTCTGTCTAATGAGGTCAGGGGAGGTCTTTGGCATTAAGTGACTTGTCTTGTGTTAAGAAAGTTGGATAAGTTTCATTGGAGAGAGAGGATGAGGAATGTCATTGTAAGCAAATGGCATTATATGAACAAAGGATAGATTTAGGAGTGAGCATTTTGTATTTGGGGAGCCTTCAGTAGTTCTATATGACTGGATCCTAGAATCCTTGTAGTGTATTGGGGGAAGTCAGATCTTAAAGTACTTGGTATCATGATCAGAGTTTAGAACTTTTCTTAACATGGGGCAACCATTGAAGAATTTCCAGCAAAGTAGCAGTTTATTGGGTTTGTATTAGAAAAATAACTTCAGCTGCAGTGTGGAGAATGGACTTAGAGGAAAGGTTAGAGTGGTGGTAGGGAAACCAATTGTAGAAAATTAAAAAGGTCCAGTAGAGAAACGAAAAGAGCCTGAACTAAGCAGTTGGAGTTACAGAAAGATGACTTTGAGAAATAAAATATAAGAAGTAAATTTGATATGACTTAAGGCTTTGAATGTTGGGAGCTAGAATGATTTGGAACCCTAAGACATAGGATGCCTGGGTTTCTGGCTAGGGTGACTGAGAATACTGAAACTTTTTTTTTTTTTTTTTAAAAGATAGAGTGAGAGAGGGAGGGGGAGAGAGAGAGAGAGAGAATTTTTAATATTTTTTTTTAGTTTTCGGCGGACACAACATCTTTGTTTGTATGTGGTGCTGAGGATCGAACCCGGGTCGCACGCATGCCAGGCGAGCGCACTACCGCTTGAGCCACATCCCCAGCCCAAATACTGAAACTTTTGATTGAAATGAGGAGGAACAGGTTTTTGTTGAGATGAAAGATAAAAATAAGTTCGGTTTTGAATGTTTGCTCAGGTTCCTGTGAGACATTTGGGTAGAGATGCTTTTGGGTCAGGAGTTGAGAGAGATCAGTGCTGGATATGGAGGTTTACATACAGATAAAGTGGTTCAAGTATTGCAGAAGAGAATGATCAGCTCACTGAGAAGGAATGAGAAGAAATGAAAAAAAGCAAGAAGTTTGAATATGGAACTCTCTGAAAGCACATCATTTAAAGTGTGTGTGTGTGTGTGTGTGTTTGGAGGAGGGGGTCATGTTGGAGAAGAAGTGGAGAAGAGTGCGCAGATGGGACTGAAGAAGTTAGGAGGCGGAGAGGAAGAACTGGTAGAAAGCTCAGCAAACAATCTAGGGGAGGAAGGAAGGGAGGAAGCAGAGTGGTGCAGAGAGCCGGTAAGCACTGGGCAGTGTCCAAGAGAATTAGTGGATAGAAATCATTTAAAAAGTTGTGAAGATCAGTAAGCATTTCTTCTTTAAAAATGTTAAACCTGGCTCGGCCTGTTTTATTTCATCTGTAAGCCTTCCCCCCAACTGGGTTATTTTGAAGTTAAACTCAAGTTTATCTTTTTTTTTTTTTAATTTTTTTTTAAGGTGTCAATGGACTTTGTTTATTTACATGCGGTGCTAAGAATCAAACCCGCACCTACCACTGAGCCACAATCCCAGCCCTCAGCTTTTCTTTTTATCCATAATATTTAAATATGTCTCTTCAAAAGTTCAAGATTCTGGCTGGAGTTGTGGCTTAGTGGTAGAGTGCTTGCCTAGGCACATGCGAGGCCCTGGGTTTGATCCTCAGCACCACATAAAAATAAACAAAATAAAGGTATTGTGTCCAACTACAACTAAAAAATAAATATTAAAAAAAGTTCAAGATTTTTTTTTAAAGTCTTTATCCAATGTGACAGTTCTTCCCTAATACAAAATTTCCAGTCACTTGGCTATGAGGAGAAGGAGATAGTAGCTAAAAATGGTTCCTGGGCTTGTTTTTTTTTTTTTTTTTTTTTTTTGGTGGCAGGGAGGATTTATAAGCTAACAGGGAAAGAGCCAAAAAGAGGAAATGTTTGAAGATGAAGGAGGAGGAAAGAGCTGGTAGAGGTCCCTGACAATTTAGGGAGAGATGGCATGAGCAGTGTGAATTGGTCTTGGATTAATTCATTACCTTTAACAATTATCATTTAAGTGTGAGCTGTATTCCTTGGCAGTGTGCTAGAGTTGATAAAAGGAGGTGCACTGAGAAAGGTAAAGTGAGAATGGATTTTGTATTTGTACATTGGATGGTAGATGAAAGTTGAAAGCTATGGTCTCTTAGAGGTGGATAGCAATAAAGGTCAGCTGATGTGAGAAGAGATTCAGGAGAACAATAGAGATTTGGAATAGCCACTGTGGAAGATGAACTGAGTTAGTACAAGCAAGAATTGTTTCCCTGAGCTGAAGTTACAAATTGGTAGTGTATGGTGACTGGAAAACATGCTGTCCTATGATTTTTCCTCCTTAAATTTTGTTTGTTTTACTAGTGAAGAGCTTAAAATATTGGGGAAACTAGTAATCTAATGTGTAGCTGGAGAGAAGAGAATCCAGGAAAAGAACTGGCATTTGGATAATTTTTTAACCACTGTAAATTGTGTGCTAGGCATGGTGGCATAATCTCAGCAATGCAGTAGCTTAAGGAAGGAGTACCACAAGTTTGAGGCTACTCTCAGCAATTTAGAAAGGCCCTGAGCAAGTAACTTATCAAGACCCTGTCTCAAAATATAAAAAAGATGGGATTTAGCTCAGTGGCAAAGCACCTCTCAGTTCAATCCTTGGTCCCCTCACCCCCCCCCCCCCCCCGAAAAAAAAAAAGAAAGATTTGTCCATTTAGCTAATAATTATTGTCTGTTTTTCATAAATTTAACAGTAAAGTTAGAAATGTTCTTATTTACCTTTTGTTCAATACTTTATTTTCTCAATATTTACAATGATGTTTTTTATATGAAGAATGTTTCCCTAAGTATTATTTACTGAATGTGAGGCAGTGGAAGATGTTAAACAGATTTGTTGTCTAATTCTAGAACTATAGCTCATTTTCTGTGTGATTATCGAAAACTTTTCAAACCTGTTCTTTTTATCTCATAAAGGGTGTTAATACTTTTTTTTGGGAAAGATTAAACAGTTTAATGGAGATAAACCATATGCTACTCCATAACAACATCTTTCTCTTCCCCATCTTTCCTCCCATCACTAACAGTGTAGCACCTTTGTTCTGTCTGAGAAAAAGGGCATGTTCTATGATTTTACATTTTATGTTAAGCAGGTATATCCACTAGTAGTTACATTATAAAATAATGATTTGATTTTATAATTAAACTTTTTTTTCCTCCCCAAAATGAAGCTTCCTTAAATGCTGTGTTATTTTATAGTCTTAACAGTAATGTATTTTTGTCTTCAAAAAAACAGGAAGTTCTACTGGATGGTATGAAATCTCAATAGCTCTAAAATTCTTTGATTCTCTGGCTATAACTCATTTCTAGTCTGAGGTATAATCTAATTTCACTGATATTTGAGCATCAGTTTGCGAATAAAAATGTGCATATTTTAATACACTCAGCAATATTAAACATTTTTCTCTCCAGTGATAGCTATACTTATAAATGGTAAAACTAGGGAATGTATGCCATAGAATGCCTAATAAACTA